ATCAATTCAAGCATTCCATTCGTAGAACGGTACTCCAGGTTGATTGAATGCTACTTATTGTTGTTTAAATCACTTTGACTTTTGCCCTTCTGCCCCTGTAGAAGTTCACAGGCAATTCCAGCATTCATGTGCCTCCCCAGTTTTGTCCCACTAACACAAATGGACTTTTTGGATAATATTTCTTGTCGGGAGCAAACAAAAGGACGCCAACCAATGACCAATGCAGCTTTGCAGATGCATGTGAATACATTAAAATATTGACAAAAAGTGTATCTATTTCTGAAAATAATAATAAAATGAAATATGTTTTATAAACGTACAGACGACACAGAGTAAAATATTTCAAGCAATTATTCTAGTTAGTCTTGATGAGTGTGCCTCGTAAATCACGTAGATCACTGATGATGTAGCCTAATAGAAAGTTAGATGGAAGGAAAGAGTGTGGATTTCCATTTTTCTCCAACTGTTCCTGGTTTTTGTGAACCCCCGGTTGGCTCCATTTCGCACTGCGATCCATTAAATACGCATTTTACTTGTTCTGACAGCTTTTAGGTCCTTCAACAACGCATGAAAGAATTGGCCTTCCTTCACAATCCTGTCAAGACTGTGGTTATTCCTGCATCTAGGGGATAATTTAGTACCACATGTTTTTTTCTTTCCACTACTGCTCCAGGGCAGAGCACTTTGTGAACAGCCAGTTTGTGCCTGTCCCTTCTTTTGACAGTCCTCAATCATTGCCGGACAGCTATCAGGTCAAGTGTTCCCAATTGTTGCAAAAGCAAGCATTTCTGTATTAAAACATTTCTTCATCTTGTCTTAACATATACTAGGCAACTTGCAAAGCAATTCAAATAAATGTCGTAAAACATTTTAGTGAATTCTATGTGTAGCTCTTTGAATAAAATGAAAAACTTAAGTCAAATTTCTCCAACATTTACCAGCAAGGGATATTAAGATGGTCTGTGCACTGCCCATTAGTGCATGAGAATGTAATGAGTAGATGACAATATTTTTCTCTCTGAGATGCTGACAAAATCAGTAGGAGCTCTAGAGATGAAGGATGGAAATGACATCATTTCAACTAAAGCTGTCTACTCCTACTGTTAGCTTACTCATTTCTTATTTTAGGTGTTGGATTAATCTTAAGTTTAGTGTTTATATCTGCTATTGCTTAGGCTTCCTTCTGGTTCCCGCTTTATTGTCCTCGCTCAGTTTGACGTTTACTTCCTTTCCCCAGCTGCTCGTCATCTCCTCATTAGTCTCACTCACTCCCTTCCCCAGCTGCAATTAGTTACTTTCAATTACTTCCTTTGGCATCTTCACTATCTCTTCTATGTATCTATACCTCCTGGACTCATTACTCCTCACTGGCTCCTTTCGTTACACTTTATTGTATGTTACATGCCATGTTCCTGGTTTCCTGTTTACGTAAGTTTTTAATTATTATCATTATTTATTTATTTAAACATGGCTCGCATAGCAATTCCCTCCTCCTGCCTCCATTTCGGTCCTGCTCCAAACAAACCAACCTTCACACAAGAACATACTCAATAGTACTGATACCAAAAATGCTTTTATGTAAAATAAGGAAAAACTCAAAATAATCAGATGTTTGGACACTTAATTACTTCATCTGTTTCCCCCCTAGTACAAGTGGTTAGGACCAAAGAAATATTTATTTCCAACTTTCTGCAAGCATTAAACTTTCAGAATAAAAACCAAAACTATCAACAAGAAACTTCTCAGAAATGGTGCAGCCTGGTCCCAGTTTCTAGTGGAATGAAAAGGGTTGTACAAAACCTTTCAAGATTGCTTCAACACACAGAACTGTAGGAAAAAATACCCAAAGGCAAAATCCCCAGGTAAAAGAGCCTCAGGCTGATCTCAAGCACAGCTAAAGATGAACCACTCTAAGCACAACACACTGAACCAAGTAGAACACCAAGAAAGTGTTCATGTTCCAAAATGTTTCTGATTTCTACTCGGCTGTACATATTTTACATAACTTCAAACAAACTTAAGATGATTTGTGTCTTTTAGATCACAGGCACTAAAATAGACAGTTTATAATTGGTAGATGATGGCAATCTTTGTTTGTATAGCTTGGATGTAATAATAAGCAATAATAATGCTTTTTTTTTTTCAAAAGACAAATGTAAAACTTGAACTGCTAAAGTGAGTCAGAGAAACAAAAAAAAAACAAACAAAAAAAACAAAACAAGGGAGGTAAAATTATGATTAGATGCTGTGATCCAGAGAGCAGTGTGACATTTGCAAAGGAACTCTGTTTCACATTGACCGGTTGCTTTCTGCATGGTCAGGGGCATTTTGATAGATATTCTTTGCCCACTGGCTCTAAAACAAGTATGCTTCACAGTGAACCCCTGTCAAAGTCCAACATATTGCAAACGTACGAGGCTTCCTATTTTAGCAAGAAAAAAGAAATTCAGTAAATACAAAAAAAGCAAGTAGCCAAAAACATATCCAATGGACAAAATGGATGAAGTGGAAAATATTTACAATTATTTTCTATTGTGTAGCAATTCAAAACAAAACAACCTTGACCTTTAACGGTTGCAAGCAAGCTTGGCCTTCATTTATCTATTTCTTTTCCTTATATCACAAAACAATTTTCTATGTTAACAAGTTGGTTGAAAAAATTACCATCCGAACACCAGAGGTCACAAAATCAAAATGGAACTGGCAACACCAACAAAAACAGTTAAATAGGTTAATTTAAATAAATAGAATAACATAGAGAAAAGAAGAAGAGGAGAAATAAATTTAAAAAAAAAACACGGGGGAAAAAATGTTCCTGGATTCACAAGAGTGGTGTATGGCCTTTCATATAACAATGAAATACTTTGTCCATTAAACTTTTCTGGTCTTTTTACCCTTTTTTCTGTTCTCCCACTAAACTAGTCCTTTAAGACAGTCACCACGTTTTAATTTTGAACATTCCTCGCGCCACACCCCCACATTTAACATGCTGGTTACCTACTACAGATAAGATACTGAGTACTAATAAAGCCCTCACAGAACCACTTCTGCACATTCAAAGTTTTCCTCTCGGCCGGCCTCCGTCAGCGATATTAAATTTAACTGTACAGCTAGTCCTAATCTAAATTCCACTGTCCAAGCATTGCAAGTTGTACAGAACCTGTGTCCATCCATACATTCTCATCTTTATTGAACTTTCATGCCATTTAGACTTAAGTTTAATGATTCAAACACTCGTTGCACTTATGAGGCCACGGGAGGCTAATTGAAAAGAAGAAAAAAAAACAGCTGATTCAGTCATTTTGTTTCGGGGAATGACTGTGAAACTGTCGTCTAGCTGATTTAGCCAACTGGATATTAAACTCTCTCTGGCTCTCCGGTCGAATTTGCCTCTTTAACATTATGCTACTACTTGGGTTGCTTTAGCAACAACCCACTCAAGCTCGCATGGCCACATACTACATGGAAATGACAAAAAAAAAAAAAAAAAAAATTATATCGTCATCCTTTCAAACACTCCGGGAATAAAACAACACATTACAATTATTCTGATCCATTGCTAAGATAGTAATTATGGATATCACGCTGGTAAATAGAGTTATTCCACCCACACGGAAAGAAGATGCATAAGCTGCTGCCTTCAAGTCTCTGGAGAACCAGTGCATGCAGGCTGACATCCACAGAGGAGGGAGATGCATCTTTTGGAAGCGTGTCCCACACTGCTGCTCCGAGTGCAACAGAAGCTGCGGTGCTCACTTTGGTGATCATTTCCAGTGAAACATCAGAGCAACCTGGTATATCCGTGACTCATGGGATTGCCTGATCGGCTGCCAGGTTGATAATGAAAATGAATGAGAGTGGACACAGGCAATTACCCCTAATAATCTCTCTGTCGCCTAATGAACAACTGTTTCATCAGCAGTTTTGTTAATATCTTAAATTTCACAATCGGGGCTCGAGGTTGCTACCCTTTTACCAGAATTGGGTGCTGCCATGTTAAATTATGTTCCAGATCACAGAGGAAATTTAATATCCACATCACATCTCTTTCTAACACCTGGTAATATAAGTAATAACGTTATGTCTGGTATGCTTTAGGTGACCTTTAATCACCAGAAGCTGATCGTGAGCCACAGAACAGTGACCTTCCAAACACGCACTACCCGTGGGGGTTAGGACATGGGCAACACAAATACAAAGGGCTGGTTTAGTCAATGCAGCCTTATTGATTGTTTGTCAAAGGAAAGAAGGAACATGGAAGGCAAATCAATTACACATATGCAATGTGTAATTACATTTCAACAAAATTGCTGAGGTGTGGAAAAAAAAAATTCAGTTGACATTTATGCTAGTCTGGTATCCATGCAAACTGAAGAAAGCAGATGCATAGACAGAATATAAAGAGTTGGGGAGGTTGAGTGGAACAGACAGACATGAAGAAATACGTAATTTTGAGGAAACAGCATCACAAAGACCAGGATGAGCCAGGAGTAAAGTTGTGGAAAAGTTTAAAGTAATATTTGGCGAAAAAAAAAAAACTAAATCCACAGCTTTGGGAACCCCAACAACAATTCATTCTGACTGTACCGATGCAAACAAAGAATAGGCAGAAACTTCAATCTAGAAAGTGACATAGGCTACCCCTAATACCTTGCTGCATGTTTTCCCATCGCCTCTCTAGAGTTTTGGGAGACGTAGAAGTTGAGGATCTACACTGAATTTTAAGTTATTAGGAAGAGTAAAATAAAACACCTTTTCATTTGTTTTACAGAAGATCCTTCGCAGCTGTGCAGAAGGTACAGACTTTGTTCTGCATTTCGAATAGGAGCAACTCTACATTTCACGGTCATCACACTGCTGAAAAGTCTTCTGCGGCAAAATGCGCCTCCACCATATGAAGAGGCATTGCGTTATGGTACACGCGGAAGGGTGTGTGTTTGTTATTTCGCTTAGTTTCCGCACGTCTACATCTGCTCCAATCACACATGCGTGGTTTTAGATTTTCTTGCGTGTCGAACAATACAAATAAAACAACAAGCAACAGTTCTGCGAAGCTTAATTCTTTTCGCTTGGGGTTGTTTTATTAAGTTCACTTGGGGAGAGCAACCTGCTGCCGTGTGATTTGGTCATCACCTTTGTGATGCGGTGCAGCCTGTGCAGCGCGCCCCTCCGCTCCTCCTTTCTATATAGTACACAGCGGGACACTCCGCAGTTCGCTCATCCCGCTCCTTCCCCTTGCCTTCTTTTTACGCGCTCGACGTCTCTGCATAGACAGCGCTTGAGAGAGAGCCACTCTTCTCCAGAGCTTTTTAGGTGCTGGAAAGGCGCAGGGCACTCAGCGTTCCGATGGCGAAGCGGTCCATGTGGTCGTTCATAGAGAAGGATTAAAACCTTTTTTTTTCTTCTTTCTTTCTTTCTTTTTGTTTTCCCTCCCTCCACCTCTTTCTCTATCAGTGTGTGTTTTCTCTTCACACTAATTTTCCACATAATGTGGGACGCGCGTTGTGTGCGCGGAGTGCTCCCCTCAGTCGTATCCGCCTAACTGAAGGGGGGGATCCCGGCTCGTTTTTCCACCTCTGCTCCCTTAGGACACAGAGGAGTTTGCATGAAAAGGCTGGTTTACAGCGGCAAGGTGAGGCTGGCTATTTAATGCGACATTAATAACATTGTTAGCCTGTCGTTACTTTACACTGAGACCAAAAGGAATTTGTGAGCTGCAAGAGAACTGATACGGGAGGTAGGTGGTGGATTGTGAGGGGGCTCAGAGTGACTACTGAACACTTACAGTGTAACAGGTATGCTGCAGTGTACACACACACATTCATATATATGTATATGAATGTGTATGTGTTTTTTTAATTGTTTTTTTTCCCCCCACACACACATAATATACCTTATGAAACAACAAGTCCTGAATCAAATTTGTTATTCAAAGTGGCCAAGGCCAAATGTAACTCAGCTAAAAAAAAAAAAAAGAAAACATGACAGATGGACAATCTTCCAAAGTTTCTGCCACATTTACAGATAAATATGTAAGGTTGAATTTTATTATGGTCTGTTATAAGAGTCACACTGATGTGAGATTAAAGCCTTACTATGAAGAAATATTGATGGATCATAAAGCAAAGCAGCTACCTTGACTGATAAAGTGGAATCATTGATTTGGTCCAATGCTTTTTAAGAAATGTGATGAAATAGATCAATAACACTGTGCAGCTGTCATAACACTTGACTGGATGTTTGCAACCTGATGGGAGGTGCTCTATGTTGGATACGTTTTATTTCTTCTCTGTCTCAGAAGTCTTCTCTTGTTTTTGTTTTTTTTTCAGCCATGGAGGGACTTGCATAAAGAGGATCCAACTTAAGTCAAAAGTTTCTTACTTTTTTCCCTAGTTTTAGTCTTCGCCAGTTGTAAGATCTTCCAAGAAGTTTCCAATTTCATTATCATGGCTGAGAAGCTTGGACCGGCGGGGCCTAAACCCAACAATGTCCGAACTGCCCCACCACTGCCCCCCGAGCCCATTGAGATCATCCGCACCAAAGCCAGATCGCGCAGGGTCCGCCTTAATGTTGGGGGTCTGAACCACGAGGTCTTGTGGCGGACCCTCGATCGCCTGCCCAGGACCCGGCTTGGCAAGCTCCGGGACTGCAACACCCATGAGTCCCTCATGGAGATCTGCGACGACTACAGCCTGAGTGAGAATGAATACTTCTTTGACCGGCACCCGGGGGCCTTCACCTCCATCCTGAACTTCTACCGCACGGGCAAGCTGCACATGATGGAGGAAATGTGCGCCCTCTCGTTTGGCCAAGAGCTGGACTACTGGGGGATCGACGAGATCTACCTGGAGTCCTGTTGCCAGGCCCGCTACCACCAGAAGAAGGAGCAGATGAACGAGGAGCTGCGGAGGGAGGCTGAGACTATGAGGGAACGAGAGGGAGAAGGAGAGTTTGATAACACCTGCTGCCCGGAGAAGAGGAGGAAACTGTGGGATCTCCTGGAGAAGCCCAGCTCTTCAGTGGCTGCCAAGGTAAGAATCCAAGACTAGAAAGTGAGATTGTACCGCCTGAGTCTCACATTTCCTGCTCACAATCAAAGCCAAACACTCTGGTTGCATAATAACACATTGCAGGCATGCTTGTTAAAGACCAACTCCCACGTGCGCTTCAAAACATGCTCATGAGTTCATCAGCTTGAATCTGATATGGTCAGTAGAAACAGTGGCTAAGATGAAACGGTGAAGCTTTTATGAGTTTATGACTAAATGCAGAAGGCCAAAAAATATTTTCGTGACATTCAACTTAATTTTTTGTCCTTCATAAGAAGAGATTCATGTTTTTCTTCTCATGCGACATTGTTTTGAGTCAGTCTTAGTGGCTGGATGGTAGAACAGGATTTTCACAGGTATATTATTGCCGTTCTAAGCATTTATTTGAGTTAAATTATATGATTTTATTCAAAACCAAGGTTCTCTGTCTACGAGACTGTTGTGTTAGTTGGTTCAGTTTTCATTTCATTTTAAAATTCTCTTCCTATTGAAAGAATCTTTAATTTGATACATCAGTTCTAATTAAAAAAACAGTTATTGAAAGTAGACTTACCTTCTTAAAATACCGTACTGAGGATTGCTTATATACCATTATAATCACCAGTTTTGTGTTTGCATGTGAAAGTCAGAAACTGTGTGACTACAACACCATCACCCTAAGAACTGTACCTCATAAGAAAAAAAACATGCTGCAAGTTTTCTTTCCTTTTTGATAGATTACTGTCTCCATTTTATTTTTGCAATTTATTACTGAACTCACTAAGTGCATCAGAAACCAAGATTTGCCATTGTGCAGGATGGAAAAACTGATTGTTCAGTTTGATGCATTTATTGAACAAGAAAAAAAAAAGACCAATTATGGGGGGCTTTATGTGTTACTGGTCAATGCATTTTGTGTACATCTCTATTTAAACTGTAAGTGAAAACGCAGCCAGCCTACATAGAATAATAAAGCAGATTGTATTCTGTTGTAGGGCTTTTTGATACTGGAAGCCCTGAATAAAATAAAAAAATATAAATCTGATTGATTTTTATAAACCTTTGGAATGTTATATATTTTTTAATTGTAAGAAGACTACGTCTGATCTGTCATATGTTCTGTTTATTTGCCAATGCCAATACAATAATCTCTGTTTAAAGAAACAAAAATGGAAAAGAAAATCAGATTGTTTTCTTTTGTCTTTGATCTGTTGATTGGTGATCAGAGCTGATTAAGGGAAAAAAGACTGATTTCAATCTCTTGCCTATTGATCGGTGCATCTCTAGATCCTGCTCTTTTCTCTCTAAATGAACAATGTATCTCTTGACTGTGCAACTTGGCAAACTAATATTAAAAACCTTTTGAGTCGTTGGTCAAGAGTTAAAAGAAAAGATGTGACACCTCTCATTGGATGGAGATTAAATTTCTTATTATTGGCCATTATGCCGAGTGTTCCCCCTTCCTGCATTATTGGCATATTCCCTATTTTCTATGAATCAACCATTGGCGGTGACTGACAATGATCCTGTCTCAGCTTGATTACAGCATTCATCCTTTATAGGGAAGCCATGTATCATATGAATTAATTAGACAGAGACTGCCGATATCTAATTTAGGGCCTAACTCATGTGACAGCACTTGAGTAATTTGCTATGCTGTGCGATGTCTGAAGTGATTTACTCCTCAGTGGAGTTCTTTTTTTGACTCTAGACACATTTGTGTATTGCTGACTTGTACACTAGCATGAGGGGGAAGCCCTTGGTTCATCGAAGGGAAATTCCATCCTAAATCAAATTGTATTAACATCCTGCTGACAGGGCTACGTGGAGAGCCTGATCATGACTCCAGTAGCTCAGGCTATCGGCAGCTGGAAGTCATACAGCAGAAGTACAGTGGTGGGGCCGCATACTTACAGCAGCTCTCTGAGTTCAGGGAAGCCTTTTACGGCTCATATGTCGTGCAGTGAGCTCTCTTGAAAGCTCCTGACTAAGGAAATGCCATTACTAAGTCCACTACAGTGCCACGTGCTTTCATACAGACAACCAAAACTCTTTGTCAAATACAATTTGCCTTCTGGCACACACATTTCCCCTTTCCTAGTTTCTTTTATTTTCCTTTTACTCAGTCTTCTTAAGCCAGTTTTTGTGCTTTATGCCACCTACAGCCCTTTTGGCTCTTAAATGAAATGTAAGCATGAATGTGGTGACCTTTTTCACGGGGTCAATTAAGCCATGATTTTATTCAACAAGGCTTTCATGGCCTTGGCTTTTAAGCTGAAAAGATAGAAATCCAATACACGTATAAAATCCTAGTTTTTAGTAGCTAGAAGCTGTGGAAAGAGGTTCAGAGGAGAAACCGGCAGAACAATGCCTTGAGTGATTTACCTGGTGCAGTCATGTATGTTCTGCCCAGGTTGCTGAGCTTGATGTTTGCAAACCTTTAGCAATGAATTATGAATGAAAGGGTAAAAAGAAAAATGCAGTAGGTTTTACGTGTTACTCTGTTTTATTTTCCTTTTGGGAGAAGACTGGGAATTTAAAAAGTTAATGTGTCTAAAACTACTAAATGCCTGTTTTTGTGAAAAGTTTGAATTCATGGGAAAGAAGAATAGTTTATCTACACATAAAGTCTTTTTTTTATTTTTTACATTTATCAAGTTTGAGTGGATGCCAGGTTTCAGGGTGGAAATTAAGAGATGATTTTATTTATTTATTTATTTATTTATTTAGTATTATGTAGGTCCAAAAATTAAAACACCAAGTTAATTGAAATACATTTGTTCAAAGAATTTCAGAAAAAAAAAAAAAAAAAAAAAAAAAAAAATATATATATAAATTTGTTTTTTTTTTTTTTTGT